ATCTTCACTCTTTTTATTTGAAAACTGATTACCATGGAACTTTCTTTTGCGTGGTTTCGATTGTTTTGGTTCGGCGTGTGTGCCTTTCGGATAGGACATTTCGAATTTGCACTGTCGTTTTGTACAGGCCGAACTTCGGAGCTAAACTGAAAACCGGTTCTGCTCGATGCCAGCGCCAACGGACCCAACGGTTTCGACTAAACGTAACAATAGAAATAAAAGCCATCTACCAGGGGTGCGTTCCAAAACCTACAGTAAAACTATAATTACATCTCTATACGTTTTGGATCGCAGCCCTGAAAGGTAAAATCCCCGCTCCGGGTGAGTATACCTGCTGCGTGCTATTAGAGCCTCGACGCTGCTCAAGAGATTTGTTGCGCTCGGAGGCCATAACTTCCGAACGGCTGCGAATTTCGATTTAAAACGTTGGGAACATATTCTTACAATGTTAAATAAACATTTTATGCAAAAAAAAAAAATTCGATTTTTTGAAAGTTCTAATTGGATTTCCCCCCTTAATTGATATGTTAAGTAACTATTACGTATGCAGAAAATAATATTCACACACATACACCCATTGTATAGATATAATTAAATATTTTGTAACTGTCACATAGTGAAAAGAAACGGACAGAGTTTGACATGTAAATATGTAATTCACAATAAAATAATTTCAGATAATTATAATATTTATATATAACCATAATTATAATATTTATATATAACCAGCGTAAAACCTGTAATTAGAAAGCAGTTCGTCTAATAGCGTATCATTATCTGTGCGTAAAAAGTATGACTCATCAATTTTTAATAATTGTTATGCTAAAACTCGATATCGACTCCAGATCATTAACTTTAGACTTCTATATGTGCGCTGCACGTTTGAATTAGATTTATTATTATGCGTTAGATTTAGTTTTATTATTATGCGTAGTTTTATTATTATTCGAAAATACATCAGGCGACACACACAAAATGATATCTACAAAGGTAAACTGATGCGTAAGTCGCGAGCAAAATAATTGAATTTCTTACACGTGCATGCATAAATGCAACATTCATTAAGCGACACACACAAAATGATATTTACAAAGATAAACTGATGTGTAAGTCGCGAGCAAAATAATTGAATTTCTTAAACGTGCATGCATAAATACAACATTCATCAATTTTACTTTGTCCACTTGTAAATATTGTTATCGATATTTTATATGGCGATATCATCGGCGGTATTATGACTATAATATTTTATAATTTTATGAGTTTTAGAATAAATGAAAATTGTCCAATCGTTTTTGCAATTTTTGTCAATTCCAAAACATTTATTGAAAAAAAATTAATTTTATCGCTGATTGCATAAATAATAATGTAAGAAAGACAATCTTCCTCCCGTATATTTTATTTATATTTACAAAGTTAAATACGTTTTCAACAACGAAGTCTTTGACTCTTTGAGTGCTAATAGTAATAATATCAAAGATTATAATCTGGGAATGACGTCATCGAAATCCTAATTTCGATTTTACGAATTTAAATATAAACAAAATTATACGAATTTAAATATAAACAAAATTTTCGTATAATAAAAACTCTCTCCTCTAATTCGTATGTTTGGTTTCCAATTCAAACCAATTCTAATATAATCCATAAACGTAAAATATACATGTCTATCATTTACGACACATGAGCAATAAATACTAATCCTCCTGATGAGTCTCGTTATCGCTCATATACTCATATGCGCATTGTCAATTTCCATGAAGTGATCTTTGTACCGGTTGACACGTAATATTCTACACACGACAGAATACAGATATACTGAAATTAAAAAATAGTTCCAAATAGTTCAAAGTAGTTCGAGATTTATTCAATGCGCCACATTAAATTGTACACTCAATAATTACTGCGACGCGAGATATCAGGAACATATTTTTGTACGAAATGTATGTAAAACTTAGCTAAAAATATTTTTTAAACGAACTGCATGTAAGAAAATAATATGCAAATATCAAATAGTGTTATACGATATTTTACTTTATTTTACTTCCGTTTTCTTTTTATTTGTATTTTTCTGTATTTAAATATAGAAACGTATACACCCAAACGGACATAATGTAATCTTACATTCGTTACTTACGACAAGATACACACGAAATTTCTTATCACGTTACAAAATATTCACTTTACTATTTTACGATACTGTGAAACAAGTAAAAATGTTTTGCCCGCGACCTTACTGATACTATTAATTGCTTTCGATATCTTTGCCTCAATCCAAATGTGACAATTATTTTGATAAGAATAATTATCAAAATAACTGAACAATTATGGAATTATTCATATTTCATAAAATATTTATGGAATTATACTTATGAAATTATACTTCTGAAATTATGGAATTATACTTATGGAATCATACAATTATGGAATTATACAATTATGGAATTATTCATATTTTATAAAATACTGTCTGATTTGCAACAGCAAAATAATATAATTAAGGGCAAAATAATATAATTAAGGCGCCTCTTTAACAATATAATTAATAATATAATTAAGGGCTTCATGCACAGTCCATCGGACACTACAATTTTGGTGCGCGTGGTGACCGTCGTCACTACGCGGCGAGAAATATTCGTAGTACTTGTTGCATATGTGCATAAGTCGTATATTGAGCGTACAATGCCGTACAACGGTATGATATTTCGATCAATTGGCGATCTCAACTGCTATATTAAAATTTACGATAATGATTGCCGTGCGACATATAAAATGTTTGCTTAGTGCTTCGCTTTCTTATAAAAAGCAGAAAAATCGTCGACGAATACAAAATATATTGTGTTATAAATATACGTCACATAGCGAAAATTAAAAGAATAGATTACAAAGTTAACACTAGCGTTTTACAGTAAAATATAAGAATAATGCTGAAAATTCCTTTTTTCAAATAACAATCATTACATATATAAATTTCTAAAAATAACCATAAAATTGAATGCGTTAAGTACTCATAAATATTTCTACATTTTGAAGATGAGTAGTTTGAAGATGAGCGGAAAGCTTCATATCAAATATCACTGCGCTTTTTATCAGAACTACAACTTTGTTACACTGCATTTTCTTATCAGTTCTAAAGAATATGCGTTCTATCAAACTCAGATATTAATAGTCGAAGAAGAACAAACAATTATTGTAATATTTAAAGTTAAATAGAATACTAAATCGTTAATTTCCTATATTTAACAGAACATAAAAGTATCACAATACTAAATAATATACACGTAAAATATTATATTTACGGAAAATAAAAATTATATGTAGAAAAAACACATAGCGGTAATGTGAGGTTAATTGTATGTAATATGTTGAAGAAACTCTTGATATATATATATATATATATATATATATATATATATATATATATATATACTGATTATGAATAATTTCTCTGATCGACAATTGAAACAGTCCCAACAAGACAAGACAAATTACAAGAATAAAACATTGATTGCAATAAATGAATAAATAAAAGGAATAAATAAATGAATAAGGAAAAATGAATAAAAGAAGATACTAACAGAATCTCGCATTCTGTCCAACAGAGCTCTCCCATCTTTCATACGCGCCGCATTCCAACGTCAAACGGAGCATTGAAGCGAATGTGACGAGCAATCATGCATCCCAGGCACTGAACGCAAATTATTAATCTATAATGCAGCAAGAAAACTTACTCCTGCATATCATTTAAAATCTATAAATCATATAATATTTCGAGCGGTGTGTGCGTCAACATTTCTTCTTTGTTTCATCCATTAAAAGGACATGCAGAAATGACTATTAAATAACATGCAGAATGACTAATTCACACATATACGCCAAAGTCTAATTAAATACACAAAATATTAAAATTTGACTTGTTCTTGATGATTTATCGTATAACTTTAATCTCATCGATATTGAGTATTTGCATAACGAATTTTGGAGCAGTCTAGTACTTCGGAGCGTAAAGCTGAACGATCGTCATCGTCTGCTCATGCTCAGAATTAGGTTTCGCGTGCGGGAAATCGCGAGAAGTAAACTAGAATGGAAATAACGGTACTCTCTCAGCGAGTTTTGTGCATCCTCGACTATTCCTTGTCCTATTATGAGTACCATTTTAGACGACCTAACATTCCCAAACGACGCCAAGACCGACCCGAGTTCATTTCGCATACAACTGTCTACCTGCTACACCTGAGACATCCCATCCTTAACCCCTCCAGCCTACGTTCTCACATTCATTCATACTCACAGAATATCTCTGGGCAGCGTTTTGTAGAGCATGTAAATGAAGCGCCGCCGACTTCCGGTGAGGAGAAAGCCGCAGAGTAGCAGACTCAACGCGGTGATAACGACCTGATGGAGCTCCGTCATTGTTATTTAATTCCTGTAGCGCTGTCTCGTTCTACGACTCAGGATTAATTAACGGCGTGCCCGTAACAAGCCCAGAAATGGCGCCAGCCAGCCAGTCAGTCAGCGGCCGGTTTATCAGTCGCGTGAGAACGGAAATGTCGCCGGCCGTGATAACACCGCGAGCGTCGACTGTTAAGCTTGGAAATGGCTAAGTGCACATGCGGACGCTGTCGTACGACTGAAACGGGACTCAAGAACGGCTTTAACATATACTGCTCTCCCTGTCTGCCCACGTCCACCACACAGACAGACCAGTGGAACGGAGTAGTCATCGGTAGTCACACTGGCGTAGCCAGCTACGAAGCTGCTCCGAGCCGGAAGAAGCGATAGAGCACGCTGCGACACATCAGCCTTGCGCACTACGCACTAGGCACATGCGCATTTGCACGACAGTCCTCGAGCTTCTCGAGGACGACTCATCTGAAAATAAAAAGGACCGTGGACCGAGGCGCGCACTTCTAGTGGTTGTACTGCACGACCCATCTTCTTCAGTAATTTCGATCGTAGATTTATTTAAATTTTGATGACAGAAGCTATAATACAAGGAGTTTCCATGGAACTGCGCAAAATTGCACTTTTAGTTGTCTTATGTCCTGCTTTCTATGTGATTCAAATTAAATAAAGAGGTGAAAATTTCATTTGCAATTTTATGTGCTAACGACAGATAATTGGCTGATGGTAAGTTTATTTGATGTTAGAGTTAGCGTCAAACGATCATCAAGTACCGCTAAAACCAGCGTAACGCAAATGGACATCAACGAGTCCTTAGGAAAAGTATACCATAGATGCACAAAAATAAACGACAAAAATAAGAAACAAAGTATTAGGAATATTTTCGTGCAAATGTTGGTCGCAAATAGTTTCAAGAAACAGTCCTTAGCAGCCTGTGAGAAAAATGCATTAGGAGCCGCTCGTTATAGTCCACGCACGTGTATTTGAACACGTGTGCTGATGCGACGGCGCAGAGAACGTCATTGCGAATCATTGGCGTAAGCAGCGTTGACGTAGATCGAACCGGCTACTTTGAACGGACTATGATTCGTCTCGCACGTTCGTCGTAATTTGTAGGTCACCACACTATATAAAGCTAGTAATGTTTAATATCGTTCTATAACATGATCGCTTTTCATTGCGAAATTGCGAGCCTTTAATGAATCACATTGAGCAATGAAGTATTTTTACATGCGTCTTTGTCACGTTGGATAGCTTGAGATTTTTCTCCACGTACATTACGTTTGTGAACCTTGCGTGCTTCTCCCACATTTCATTAAAATCCAATGAATATCTCGTATATAAGAAACGTTTATTTATTGAAACCCCATCTGTGAAAGTTATTTATACTTCTTTATCGATTTTTATGCTCGAATATAGACAGCCATTAATATTTTCAGATGCTTCCGAAACATAGTGAAAAATGCATTTAAAACAAAAATTTTCAATATTCTACGTGCAAACTTGACGATCCATACGAAAATAACTGTACGATACACGATGGTTTAAATGTAATAATATAAATTTACATTTAGAGTTACCTCATTACCTTTAAACATTTCTACATTGTATTATATTTGTACTGAAAAACGCAAGTGAAAAGCGCGCATGAGAAAGCCACGTCATTAAATTTACAATAATATGCATCGTGTTGCTTTTTATAGAGATTTAAAACCGAATCTAATCACGTATATATGTTTATCCCAGTTAGATAGTTTGTATCAGTTAATGTATACTGACGATAAAATTAAGTACGTTTTCAAAGTCCAAGGATTTGTTTCCCAATCAGACAGAATTTTTTCAGAAAAACAGAAATATTTGATAGAAAAACTTACCAATATTTATAGAAACGTAATACAAATTATATTGAACAAATGCTTGTAGAATTATATATAATGCGTCGGATCTTTGTCTCACACGAAACATTGTTTATATAAATTTGTCAAAAAATAAAAAAAATAAGATACAAGTAATATGTATATAACTGCGTATATATGTACAATCTTTATATCTATATTTATATATCTATATATCTTTATATCTTTATATCTAATTAGTGATCAGTGATAAAAAATATAAGATAGTTAATTTAGTTAATCTAAAAATTTTGAAAAACACACTCTAAATTTTCTTAAAAATATATTTTATATATATATATATATATATTTATATATTTATATACATATAACAAACGAGAGATAGCAAAAGTTCTCGCGATTACGATATTTAGGAACAATGAGATTTAAACAAAAATAATAGAAGATATATTTATACAGACTTATAACTATGTATAACACGTATAATATCCATGGAAAAAAGATATAAATGTACAAGATATGGACAAGAGATTAAGTGACGGTTCTCCAGTCAGGCTTCATGTTCATGTGTACTTCATAACAATGGATGCTGTAAAAAAAGATGATTTATGTTGCGAGATAAACTCTTCACAGAGACAATCACGTGATGGAAATATGATGTAACGTAAAGAAACAAGCGAAGACAAAAAGTGAATGTGCGTGTAAAATAGAAGTGCAAATCACTGTTGAATGCCGCATAATGTAGTAAAAAAGCTCCGAGGATTTTCAGATACATATTTTTTGTTGCTCCTGAATATTAAATCGTTATTATACGGTCAAGGGAAATATATACCTTAATCTCAACGATCAAGACTCCAGACATCGCGGTCGCTATCTCAGAACCAAGTAGAGCACCATGATGTCCAGAACTGAAAATGACACGCGCTAATCTAACTAGGTTAATCTAACTAGCAATTCAAAAACTGATCAACTTAGCGTCGATTTAATTTAAAAATGAATAAATGTAAGTGTCATACGCTCAGGAATAAGAGTATTCTACGAGAAATATTTGAATTAAAAAGAATCAATTGAAATTTATATCATAGAGCCGAATTTCTAGTTCTTCAGCTTCGCAGCATGAATATCAATCAATTATTTTTAATTCGCAATCTTCTCGTAAAGACCTCTACATATTTACATGTTAACACATATCCTAAACATGTTCTTGGTCACAAACGATACGAAACAAGAAAGGAAATCGCGCACAAAGGAGCATCCCTATATATTTTATGAGAGAGAAAGGAATCACAGAGTAATCCAAAATTTAAAAAAAATATATTAAGAAAGATGAAACGTGAAATTTTATATCGTGGTGAGACGCCATGCTATTGTCGCGTGCTATTATCGCTTATTTGGATGTGCATGATTTCTTACCTATGATGAAAAGCACGATCGTTACGGTGACGCTGATGATAAGGATCCTTGATTTCACGTTCTGTAACCACGCTTTTCGTTGCGCTCGCTTCGCGGCCTCTCTGAATTCGTTCCCGGCCATGTTCAAACGATCGCTCGCCTCTTGCAGATCCTCCAGTCTGTCGCCACGATCGATCACCTTCTGAACATTGTCCCTCATTACATCTGTCACTTCTTGAATCTGCAGTCTGACACTTAAAAAATATAGACATTTATTAATTGTTTACGCATCAACATCTTATACATTTTACTGCCATAGCAAAACAAGTTACAGTGGCACCACAATGGATTCACAATCCCTATTGTGAATCTATTGCAATATTATTGTGACTTGTTTTGCTATGAGAGCAATCAAGAAGAATCAATATATGCCCGTGTACGTATAATATATAATATAATATGTAGTTAAAACCATACTTACTATATATTACTTTAACTAAAATACATCTTCCCTCCAGTAGCGCCGACTTAAAATCAAAAATATAAAATAAAACGCCACTTACCAATCCACTTTATTGTCGATCCTTTCATCCTTGTTCGAAGTACCCGGCCGACTGCAATAGAAATTAAGGCATTAAAGTGTCAATGTCAATTAAAACGACTTCAGGAAAAATCTTTAGAATTTGTAACATGCAATGCTTTAATAGGGAAGCTCAAATATACAATAATATTATGAGAATAATCTCTACATTAAAACGTAAAACAGAAATAAAAAGAACAGTTTATATATTAACAGGTTTATAATAACTATCATGTACATCTCGTTAAACAATTATTTTAAACATTTTATTGCAAACAAGAACTTTTTATATATTTTATATCAAACTTTTTATAAATTTTGTTTACAAATTAAGACACTTGCAAAGTTTTTTATGAGAACCTCGTCTAAACAAATAACAAATAACAGATTAATACTGCAATTCTAGACAAAATCGTAAAACTCGTAACTTGTTCTCGCAAGACTCGTAAGAACTTATGAATAGATTTACAATTCTATACGGACAGTGTCATATGATAACTCGTAAATATTTACGACTTTTTTTTCGTAAGCTACGCGACTTTACGATTTATTCGTATATTTGCTTAGAATTGCAGCATAAATATGTTATCTTACCTGAACAACATGTCCTCATCAAGATCGCTGTCGTGTTCCAACAACTTTCCCTACGAAATGATAATTCAAACGTACATGAAGTTTCCCGCCGAGGATGACGTCATCTTTAAAGTGTTGCGCATTCTTTGTACATGCCAACAACACTGTAGATCGAAGGTACTCACTTTTTCATCTTTATCCGCGGCTCTGATGTCCTCCTTGGACAAGTTGCGTTTACCAGACATTAGCATTTTTTTAGAAAAACGTAGCCGTTCGTTGCTCACAGACTTCGAACGTTTAATTTACACGTACAGATAATTTCCTTCACTGGCCGGAGCAAACCGTGCACAAACGCTCAGCCATTTTGACAGAACCATTCTGTTTTATCGGCTCTGCAGTAGCTACAACCAAGCAGTACCTGAACCCTGGATCAATATAGCAGAGGGCAGTATCATGGTAGGATACCTTTGCACGTAAAAACTAAAATGAAATGATTAGAGCTCATAAAAACATATTTTACGTTAACACTAATAATTTCATTCAAAGTGTTTCTCGAAATGCAAGTGTCGTTCACTCCTCTTTACATTTTTTGCTAACATTTATACATGTTCGTCCTATACGAGAAATATATAAAAAAGAATAATCCTTCTCTAATACAAATTCTTTTACGCTGATATGTAACTATCAATATTCAATACGTAAATTTTCTATAATATATCATTTATATCATTTTTATACTTATGTTTCTGTATTTTGTAAACAAAGCTTAAATGTAACAACCAAATTTTTACAATGTAATATATTGTCGATATGATATAATCATACATGCGATATATTTAAAAAACTAGATAAGATTTTATGTTTTAAAAAACAATAATACTGCATTATGTCGCATATTGCTTTTATTTTGACATAAACATTTAAATTTGATTACATATACATAGCATAACAATAAAAAAATAATTTGATTGTCGTATGAATGCGCAGGGGTTCGTTAATAAAAACAAAAAGAAACTAAGTATGAGTCGGTTAGTATTCCATAAATTCTATATATTAATATCAAATTAAATGATTGCAACAAGAAAATATAAATGAACTATAATGTACATAAACCGCAAAATATCTGTATATATATATATATATATATATATATATACATGTTCATTATTAATATTACTATTTATAAACATATGTTTAAAAACTGCTTCTTTCTCCTAATTAATAAAATTTAATGAGTGTTATTTACCTGCACGCAGTTAAATAATTATAAGTTCCGTTACATAACATAAATATAACATTTCCAACAAATGCTAGCTAACAGTAACATTACATAAATGTTACAATTTCCCTCAACAATACAATATAACACGTGTATTATATAACAATTACATTATTAAATGGGAAATTGTAACATTGACATAATATTATCGTTAGTTGGCGCATTTGCTGAGTTTCGTCGGTATTAGATACTTTATAGTATAAATATTAAAAAGATTGACATAGATTGTGTAGACAATTCAAATAGACAATTCAATCTACCAAAGTTCTCATGTTTTCTGACAGTTGAAACTTCAATCTCACATAACAAAACTGACCGTCTATCTACGATCATTAATATGTCCTTTCATGTTTATGTTTCGTGTTATTATGATATTGTAGTTTTGTCTTGAATGTTGTGTTCGAGAAGGAGTAATATTACAATTCCAACAAATATACAAATTATATGTCTCTTCAAATTACATAGTTATATCAAGCGTTATAGAAATTAAAAAGTAGAAGTATTTTACAGTCGTCAGCGGATTATAAAAAATTATAAAAAATGTAACGTTTCCCCCGTGCACATAGACACACATTCGAGATAGAAATATGCTTTTACAGTAAAAATCCACGTCATAGGTGACAGATCATGACACAGGCAAAGAACGAGCATATACATGTAATATGTATATATATATATATATATATATATATATATGTATATATATATATATATGTATATATATATATATATATATTTATAAAAATAGATCAGATTTGGGGAGATATCCGTGATGTTGAGATACGTTTACAATTGTAATTTCATAAAATGACGAATGATACGTGTTTTGATATTACCGACTTATATTATTCCGTTATTCTCGCATGGCTCTTCAGGAAAAATCGATATATTTTGCAAGATTGCGCTCACATTGTTTCGAATTCAACCGGATATTGGAAACTGACTCTCGCTTTTGCGTCAGAGTATAAATCGCTGCAACCGAGTTTCCGCCTCTCAACGCATACGATATCAAAAAGTGCGCTGTGCATACGGATAGTTCTTCATTTGCAAAGTTAATCCATTCTCAAAAACTCCCGCACGATAGCCAAATTTACAACAAAAAATCGGACTAAAATGTGTAAGCCTTTATGTTATGTTGCAATCTCGTAAGTTATGTTATAACAATTAAAAATTCCTTCACAGATCACATTCTTCTAATTTCACAGTAAATAAAGAAAAAGATAAAATTAAATTAAAAAAGAACAATAATTGTAATCAAAATTGTAATTAAAATAATTGTAATTAAAATTCTTAAGAAAACTATTTTTAGTCCCACTAAATTATTTTTTGCTATTCATGAATATGCAGCAACAATTCACGTCAGTAGATACACATTTGAAATTGCGTTAAGTCAAATTTTTTAATTTAATCGCTCATCTGATGAACGTCTCGTGTGAATTTTATTCGTATCACTTCGAGAATGTATTATCTTTGTAAACTGAGGACTACGCGTTCCTTGGTGTAGGCGTCTGTATGAACGCGGGACACGCGCGATCCCACAGGATCATGGTGATTCACGGAAAAAGGAAAACAAACGCGACATATAGAAGAACATCTAAATCCGGAGCTGAAGCCATGCATCTTCATTTCGTCACAACACCTGCACATACATCAGACTGTAACTATCTGTGGACATGTGTCCGGAACATGGAGAAGGATTCTCGCGATAAGGATACCCACATATACATGTATGTATATATTATATATATATATATATATATATATATATATATATATATATATACTACTGTGATCAAAAATTATCGGAAACGGTTTATTTAAACTGCGCGTGTGCAAAATGGCACTGTTGTAGTTTTTTCTCAGGTTGGTATGATTTTCGACACCGACATCTAGCTATAATCCGTATGTCATTGTCTGTTTTCGTTTAAAAATAAACGCTTGCTTTGTGTGTAAAGAATTTTTGGCGATTTTTCATAATGTCGAGTATAATTATATAGTGCAAAGAACGTGCATTAAATTTTGTTTTTGCAACGGAATTACTGCTACAAAAACGTTGAAAATGTTGCAAAAAGCCTTTGGTGGCAATACTTTATCAAAAACAAGAGTTTTCGAGTGGTAAAAGATGTTCATGGAAGACAGAGAACGCGTTTTGGTAGACCATCCACTTCAACTGATGAACAAGAAGTCGCTGAAGTCAGAGATTTAGTGCTTAATGATCATCGTTTAACAATTAGAGATATTATTGAACATATTCCAGTATCATTTGGCTCTTGTCAAACAATTTTAAAAGATCATTTAGGCTTGCGGCGCGTCGCTTCTCAAGTCGTTCCGAAAACAATGCTTCAGTTGTTCGTGAATTTTTGGCCAAAAATTCAACAAATACGGTTCCGCAAGCTTCGTATTCATCTGATATGGTACCGTGTGGCTTTTTCCTGTTTCCTCGACTAAAATTTCCGCTTCGTGGTTACCGTTTTGAGTCGATTGATGCCATAAAAAAAATTCACTGCAAGTCCTAAAGGTTTCGCGAAAACGACTTTAAAGCATGTTTCAAGGATTAAAAAAACGTTGGTATAAGTGCATTGTAGTGGAAGGAAATTACTTTGACGGGGACGAAATAAATTTTGATGAATAAATTCAAATTTTGTGTTTTATTGAACCATTCCCGATACTTTTTGATCACAGTATATATATTAGGACCTTAACTTAGTTTCCGCCCAAAAAATACTGAGGAAAAGCATTTATTGTAAAAAATTTATTTAAATTATTTCAATGAAAGTATTTTCCATCACTTTCTACAACTTTTTGCCATCTTTCTGGCAACTGGGCGATACCATCTCGATAAAACGATGTTTGTTTCGAAGCAATCCATTCGTCCACCCATTCTCGCACTTCTTCAACATTTCGGAAGCGTGT